CGCTTGCTTCTCATGTTGCTTCTGCCCTGTGACCATAATCTTTTTAATGGGCTGGTCTGCATCTGTGTTCACAGAGCAGCGTCAGCAGCTACAGTTGCTTCTGCTAGCTAAGGATGTGTGCTACTGTATCCACATTTGTTTTATTCCTCCTAAGTTCCTTCAATAATTCAAATTCAAGGAAGGAATATTCTTTATCAGAGGATCATGACCTATTAGCTACATATCTAGTACTACTACTAGTATCATATGATGAAAACATATTTTTATCCACAGGTATGTATTTTTCATACTGTGTTATAAACTTTCTTTAAGAGCCAGCACAAAGATTTAAACTTCAGTAGCTAAAAAGAACTTTGCTCACAATTTTCCTTCTATCTGGGTTTTTTCAGATCCTTAACATTAGCTTTATGCAGATCTTGAATCATAAAGATTTTTAAGTTTATGATACAATAAGATAGAGATTATAAAGTTGCCCTCAATAGCTTAAGTAGTTGTCTTGCACTAAAGATTCTAGTCTAAATGATATTACACATTCGCTGAAATTATAGTTTTATAACACTTCACCAAGACCAAGTTGCTGAACTCAGTTTAGTTTTCTACATCAGTCTCTAAAAATATTCGCTTACCACTCAATTAGAAATGTTTTGGTAGGGTAACTAAGTAAACACGAATACAGAACATTAATAAAGGCTTTTTCTCCCTTTTCTTTTTTCCACCTCTTTCCATATTTAGGCTGCCAGATTGTCTGCGTCTCAGAGAAATGAATTTTGGACAGATATTACTGAGAGCTTAGTAATTCAATGTCTTGAGATATTCCACTTCAGAGTGGAAGACAAAATTATTAAAGACAATACAAGCATATTTCACAAGGACTTGGGAGCACAGAACAATACGTTTAAGGCTACATCAAAAGCTCCAATAATAAAGTTGAAAATTAACTAAATAGCTGCCAAAAGAACCTTTTGAAACCAACATGAACCTTTCTGTGGGGATCTGCAGACTTTGTGTGTTTGCTTTAGGGATTTGATCAGTGACGTTTGAACTGAGAACTAGAACCTTATCAGCTTCCCAAAGCTCAGGGGAGTTTTGCACTTCATCATTAGATCATGTTCACTTCCATTTAAGATACCTAATAGTGCCAGAAGACCTACTGTATCGTAGTGCGAACATCTAACAGTAAACTACAACACAAACTTTTCAGTGCTGAAACTCTTTTTGTGTGCTTATCTAGAATTTTTGTTACGGCATCCTATAAAAATGTTTCTGAGACCCAGTTCAATTCAAAGACCATAAAGGGGGATTTGGTATATAAACTCTGAAGATACCGTCCCCTAATCACTGAGGAGGACTGCCTGATGAGCAGACTTTCTGCAGGGTGCACGCTTTATGAAGTTTCAGCATGACTTCTAGAAAAAAGCCAACATCAGAAGTAAATTACTTTCACTTCCCTTTCTTTCATCTGTTCACTCCAGTTCTCAAAATTATATCTACTCATCATTCATCTGTTTTTTTCTATGGTATTTTTGTAGTAGACAACTAACCCTCTTCCTCCCCCTTCCCTCACAATCCCTTGGTTACCAACTTACCTAGTGGCAGAACAATGAAGAAAGGTAGCCAGCACAAGATGAACATGCCAACCACAATTCCCAACGTCTTGGCTGCCTTCTTTTCTCTAGAGAATTTAAAAAGTTTGAAAGCTAAGGAGTTCCTGGGATTGTGACCCTTAGATTTGGTGCTGTTTAATGCATCCTCATGAACATTCCTGTAATGAATCCGTAAAGTCAGCTCCTTGGAGTTGGACATTTCTTTCATCACACCAGCTTCCAGGTTTTTAGTAGTCCTTTTTGCCACTATGTAGACCCGACAGTACATCACAAGGATGACAATTAAAGGAATGTAAAATGACCCCAAGGAAGAAAACAAAGCGTAGAATGGTTCTTCAGTGATACGGCACTCTTTGTCATCCTTGGGAGCTGGTTCTTTCCAGCCCAAAAGAGGCCCAATAGAAATCACCATGGAAAGGACCCAGACACCTAGGAGAGCTAAGATTGCTCTTCTTCTTGTTACTAAAGTTGGATACTGGAGAGAATAACGTACCCCTATATATCTATCTATAGAAATTGCACATAGACTTAAAATAGAAGCTGTACAGCATAGCACATCAACTGCTGCCCAGATATCACAAAATATCCTCCCCAAAACCCAGTAGCCAAGGATTTCCAGTGTAGCAGAGAATGGAAGGACAGTAAAACTCAGCAACAAATCTGCTATTGCGAGGTTAATTATGAAATAGTTTGTAGGGATTCTTAAATGTCTATTGCAAGCAACAGAAAGAATTACCAAGATATTACCTATAATAGCAAAGAGTATGAAGGCACCTAGGATAAGCCCCACAATTATTGCCCTACTGATATCCAAGGTAGATGAATCCAGGTTGCTTGCCGTTTCATTTGAGTTGTTTGCAGAAAGATTGCCATTGTTTAGTGCAGACACTTTCAAATATCCAGGTATTGATGAGTTGGATTTGTCACCAGGGTAGGTATTCATCTTAAAAATCAGCCTCCATAGCAAGTTATGATTGGATCTCTTGCACACCACGCAGATGGTTTGAGTTCAGTTGAAAGTTATCTCTCTATCCAAGAAGTTGCTGTGAAGCCCCGGCCAGTTTTAGATTGAGAACTCATCTCCCCAGCAAGCTGTCAGCTATGAGCACGTAAAACTTGCAGAGCGTGAAGTCCTCTGAAGCCTGTCAGAAATAATAGGCTGTTCAAAGTTGCTTAATTTCTCACACAAACGCATTTAAACAGAAATTAGCAGGCAGAAGTCGTGACTGAAGCTCGAAAGCAGCCGTTTCGATCATGACGTCCCTGAAATTAAAGACAGGTTTACTGTTTTCCCTTGTGCGTTTGTGGCTCTGTTGGAAGGATGCCCCTGTCTAGCTGCTGTGACATGCGACTCCAAGAAGGGTTTGTCAGCATTTAGGCAGCTCTGCATGAGCTGCCTGCCTGTGCTCACACTGCCTGCGCCAGTGACATCACCGCGGCTGGCCCCGGCGCAGCGCTAGAGGGCAATGCAGTGCAAGTTAAAACTGCCATATCTAAGTCTGAAAGCTAAACAAATGGAATATATCAATCTTAATTAAAGCATTTGCCACATAAATCTGGATTGGAAACCTTTAAAAAACCAGTTTCATTATCTGAGAAAAACATACTCGGTGGGATGTGGTGAAAAAAGCAATTTCAGTACAAAATGATCTAATGCCCTTTGCCTTTTGCTCACCAAGGAAATGTATTTGAGTTTATTTTGTAACCGAAGTGAATGACATGCCATTTTAGAGAACTAGTCATCTCCCACCTTCTAAGGACAAATAAGGAGGTTCTAAACATCCCCAGTTTATTAATAGATTCAGTATTTAAGGATAGAATAAAAACATACATGTAGTAGTTTGTTTCTAATTGTAAACTTTCTGTTACTAACAAAAAAGTAACAAATAATCAAAATCAAGATCTCTATTAAGATCTTTATGTTTGTTCTATACTCCTGTTTACCAAGCATATCTATGGCTTTGTCTTCTCTTTTCCACCTAGATAACTTTTCTAAGCATAGGTGCATTGTGAATCGCAGCCTTGAACAGAGCTGAGCACCCTTATCCACAGCCAAGGTGAAGGCAGTGAAAAGTATTAGTCTTTTCAAGGTACACTTTATGCTTAAGTGTGTTCCTATATCTTTGCTGAGGGCTGGGAGATCACTGATCCCTGAGACTGTTAACTCATTGTAGTTCTGCTAAGACCTACAGTATCTTATACAGGAAAAAATAAGTAGCAACTAATTTATTTTTTACATAATAGCCTTTAATGTTGAAAACAGTGCTTTCTTAATTTCTTCATTTTGTGTAGCTTTGGGTCACCAGGTGGGGAAAAATCTCAGATCTTTACAGCTTGTCACCAGTAAAAACAAAAAGTGAAATATTAGCTGAATGTATAACTGCCAAAATACTGTTCTCAACTTTCTGTCATCAGATTATGTCCTACAGCTGTGGTCTGCAGTACTCTGGGTTACTGTATATTGATTTTCCTGTTACAAAATGTACTGTGTTTAAAAGAAAAGGTTCATTTTTAATAAGGCAGCTATGGCTGAAAGTTGCAGCTGAGTGCTAGCTTTAAGGACAAGTCATGTAAACAAAAGCTCTGGTTGAATTTTATTTGAGGAGTGTATGGCAGATGTTTGGATAGCCCTTCCCAACAGCAGGGACTATAGCAAAGCACTATCGTTCAAAAACTTTTCTCTGAAACATTTACAAGAATGACAGGATAACATGTCATGGAGTCACTGAAGGGAAAAGGAAAACACACTCAATTTATGAGCTTAGCCTCAGCTTTTCTGCCTCTGCCCTCTCCAAGGCAGAGCTTTCATTGCTAATAAAAGCAGTTAGCAGCCCTTGATTTTGCATGTACATCCTTCACACTTACTTTCTTGCTGGACTCCACATAACCACTCTCAGTTTTGTTTGTGATTTCTGATTCTGTTTCTCTGCCTTGTCTGTTTTAACCATGAATTCCTCAGGTGAGGGGCTCTCTCCTGTTGCAAAGGTGCAGACACATCTGCTGGGAGGTGTAATTACAGCTCTGCACAGCCAGGACATCTGACTCAGTACTTGGTGGAGTTGTGGTCACACAGGGGCAACAGGGGTAGCTGCTTGTCTGGGCGTCCTGGTGGGATTGCATAGCCTACAGTGAAGCCTACATCTTCAAGCTCCTGGTGCTTGAACTCAATTGATTAAAGCTGGTTTGATTAGATCATTAGATCTGGTAATAATGATATTTCAGTCTGTGGCATATAAGAAAATATGATCGCTGCAAAATGCAAAGAGGTTGGATAAGAAAAGATCAGCAAAGGAGTAAACTGGTCTACCTCAGTTTTTTTAGCTGGTAACACATGGGATGTGCCCAGCCTGCAAAGAGTAACCAAGGAGCCCGTAACTTCTCCCTGGCTTCACCCATACTGCATTAGGATTTTGTAGCCCCAAGGAACCAGATGTTTCAATGGCTTTTCAATAGCAACTTCCAGGAGTCAATTAGTTTCAGCTTGTTGGCAAGATCCAGGACATCATGCCAATGGCAGTAGCAGGAAAGGGCAGAAGGAAAGGGAACAGGAATTCTATCTGGTATTGGTTGAACTGAGACAAGTTTCTTTGTTCATTACCTTTTGCTAGCAGGAGTACTGGGACCAGGCTGCTTCCCTTACTAATGCTGCTTCCTGTGCCCCTCTAGATAGATGAAACAGCAGACAGAAAAATCCTGTTCTAGGGGACAAAGAGGAAGACAAAACTACTGCTCATCTCACAGCCCTATGGAGGTCTGATGTGTTTTCACATCTCTGTTTACCAGTCTGTGTAATAAGATACTGGCTGACTAGTCATGAGGCTCAGCTGATTCATGTTCACAGATTGCTTTGAGATATTCAGTGGCAGGTGCTATAATTAAGCAGAGTGTATTGAAACACAGATATGAACATTAACTATTTACCTACCTTTGGATGAAGGATAGATCAGGGACCATGTAAAATAAGCTAATTTTTCTCCCAAGTTCTAGGTGGCACTATGAGCTAGTGCAATTGAAAACATCTGATCAGAGAAATGCAGAGTTTCATATCCATCACAGAGTTTCTTAAATTCAGATGAATCATAGTTTTCAATGAAAAAGTAATAGCCTGGACATTCTACTCAATATTATTTCAATAATGATGTACAGCAAGACAGGATGTCCTTTAGCTCTTCAATGTTACTCACTCTGACTTGAATATTATCATGAGCGTGGTATCACATTTGGTACAAGTGTGCTTGTCATACCAGCACAAACCAGAAAGCCTTCCTCCCATGAAAAGAAAGTGGCAATGAGGAGGGCATTGAATGCAACTGTAGAAATATCTCCCTTCTCTGCTACTGTCTCTGATAGTATAACATTCCCAAGAAGTGGAGTGAGAAGATGAGCTTGGGGAAGGTTTTTTTCATGATTGTGGGTGGGTAAATAGACTCATGCAATGCATTAAATGTATTTGCAGGTCAGAGGAAATGAGAGATTCTGATTGTTTGATACTGGATTATTTTCATCATCATACAGTTTCGTTGTAGATGGTGCCAGTCATTAAAAATATTCCAATATAAAGATGAAATTCTTGTCTGTTTTTGTTAGAAACTTCAGTGTTAGTTACCTAGCAACACTTACTTTATTGCTTGTTTTATTAATTGCAGATGGTTCAAAATGTTACTACTGTTTTGGTACAAGTGTTCTTTCTGAGTTCTTCTTTCTTTCTCTAAGGACCATGGCACAACACTTAAAATCCACAGGCAGTGTAATCCACAAAATTTCTTTCTTTCATTTCCATTACTGCTGATTAGCAGATCTTTGTCCTTCATAGAAAACCTGTTTGGCTTAGCCAGAGTTGTGAAAATTTTCCATGTACATTGGAAATACACAGGATTATAGTTTCCTTACATTTTATGATTAAGCAGAAGCTAGTTTCTGATGAGTCTGTGTACACACACCCTGAACCTCAGGAAAGAGTCCGTTTCCATGATGAGAAGAGAAAAAAGGCATTTAAAATGCTAATTTTCATTTGTCCAGTAATGATATTTAAAACTTGCGGTTTTATTTTTAGAGCAAGAAAAATGTATGATAGGATTGTATTAAAAGCTAAGGTTATTAGCTTGAACTTGCCAAAAAAAAGATTGCAAACTTTTGCAATTTTGAATAATCTTGTTTCTGCTGTGAGTCAGTTCTTGTCATTTTTACATAAATAGAGTTTAGAAAGCATTTGCTAAATAAAATATAGTCAATTAACTGAAATACTATGCTTTTAATGTTGTCATTGGCTCTTAAATCCTCTTCCAGATTTAGGTCTTGCAGGCCCATTTCCCACACTAAAACATATTTTTTCCTCACACTCCTTCAGCCGTGCATTTCTGCCAGAGCTGTGCTAAAGACCCCCGGATTTACCAGTTACTGATATAGGACCCATCTCAGAAACAGACTTCATGAGGATGATGTCAGTTGAACTTCTTTGGATAGAGGGTAATGGACTATGTATTTAAGTCTCGTAAAAAATCAGTATTTGGAAGTCTGGAAAAAATATGTCCCTGCTTTAAAGAGAGAGAAAGAGAGAAAACAACACAGCCTCTCCCTCTCCAGCAGCAGGAGGAATGAGTGTATATCTGTGTGTGTATGTCACTAAGCAATTGAATTTAAAAAAAAAAGACACGCCAATGTGGAATTCCCAGTACTGCAAATTACATCCTCTCTAAAGACAAACCTAGCTGATACAGGCCTCTGAGACGGTTTTGGGGGATGTGAACTGCACTTTATCAGAACCTGTGGGGCCAGTTTGGTGCATAGGTTGCCCTCAGGCTGCCAGTAGCACCAATGAACAGCTGTACACAGACTCCTTCAGGCTACTTGAACTAGGTCATGGAGTTGCTGACCTTCAAAAAAAAAACCCCTCAATACTTCTCTCTGCTCTGAGGTTGGCATTTATTTGCATCTTCCCAGGAG